TCAAAACATCTTTTTTTAAAAGATGTAAAATACAGAAAAACAGCAAATACAGTTAAAACAATTAAAAAATAATTTTTACAACTGAAATTAGAGTTTGTATGCAGAAACAAGTAATCTGTGCCAGCGGCAAGAAGACAGATTTTTTGGTGACGAAAACTGACAGTTTACTTTTGGTACCACTCGGCAAAAAGACATTGAAGTTGGTTCAGAAAATGACTTAATTCACTGTTCTAGTAAGAGTTTCAAATGCAAACAAAGGGCAGTTTCGTTGCGCTTAGTGACACTTAAACAACTTTTAAATTGTTGATAATTCTGTAACGTTTTCACGCAGATTAACTAAAGGCATAAACACTTTAACCAAAATAAAAAAACAGCATAATTAAATCACTTTTAAAGCTAAAAATTCGCAATTTACTAAGAAATAAGAATAAAAACTGAGCTCAACGAGCCGTGTAACAGACTGGATGCATATATTTATATATTCTTTGTGCGGAGATGTACGTATGCGCGATATGAAAAAAAATCACTTCTGAATCCATTTTAAATCCATTTACAAACCGTTTTCGGAAACATAGACCTTTATTCTGTCCATATGTACAGATGTCACGCAAAAATACTGTTCAAATGGATTCGAGAGCGGTCAAGAATGGATATTTTCTTCGAAATATGATACCCTAAATTTTTCGCGATTGCAATACTTCCTTTATTTCGCACAAATATGTAAAAATTGCATATATTCTTTCCTGGCATAGGCATTTTATTTCTAATTTTAGATTTCTTAACGAAATGTAATTGAATATTTCAATGGAGAGAGATATGATTGTGAAAATTATTTTTTTTTCTCTGTTCTAAAACCGATTGGGAGTATATAACTTCAGTCCATTCTTTTGCTGCTTTCGCTACTGCGTAAGTGCGCAGCATTCTTGGGCGTACATCAAACTCCTAATTTCATCAAACATTTACAGTTTAATATCTTCATCGCGTGATATGTCAGACAACTGATTCATAGGGCAGACAACTCATGAACTATTGTTATCGCCTCAGATTCATGTAATGGCAATGAAATGAATTTTTTAAACCAGCGATAAATTTTTTCCGGTTTCTCCTACCCGCGATTGCTTGTCTGACAATGGTTACGGTTATTGGCGCCGGTGAATAATTTAGCAGGCATTTAAGCCCTGGTGGAAAGAAAAGCACTGCCTGTTCAATTTTCTCCTACATCGAGGGGTGCAATTATCCTCATTTTGAGGACTCCCATGGTCGGGTAAATCCGCATCAGTTGAGCTCCGTTTCATCGATCTGTTTTCGAAGTAATCTATTCTGTGTCAGGCGAATCTTGGGAGACGTTTTCAATGAATGTCTTCAAGTTTCCTTCTTCCTATTTTCAAATAAAAGAAAATCCAGTTGCCAATAGAAAGGATGGAGTTCAAACTTTCTTTCTTACTTGGAAAAATAAATTGCACGCTTCAAGAAAATTAACTCTCATGCGCAGATGTTGATGGCAAATTCTATAATCTGGAAGGTAAGTTACGGTGGAATTTATACTGAAACTTAAGAACTGCATTTTTGATTAGCAGTGAACATTTTTACCTTCCACTGACACAGGCCGTGAATGAGATTTTCTGACAGACACTGCTATTAACACAAAGCTCTTTTCCAAGACGTATTGGCAGAATAAACTGTCAAACATACCGTTAGTAATTAATCTTTAGAATTTCTCAATCACATTGCTATAGTTATTGGTGCCAAACCGCAAGCAGAGTACCCATCTCATCGAGCTAAACTATGTCACTTTGCCCGAGTAGTTCAAAGTTCCTTCAATCCATTGAAAGTGTCTTTGTTGTTTTATGACTTATACAAGTGCATTTAATAAAGCCCCTTTCAAGAACTCGGTGATGAATATTTGAAAATATTAATGCAGGTATGTATTCCTAATCAGAAGTAGAAGAAACAAAGAAATAGCCATTTTTAGAAATCCCAGATATGGCTTTAAAATTACTACCAGTGCTTAGTAGTTAATTTCCTCTTCATACAATACTTATTCAATCAGAACACTTAACAAAAATTAAAACTTGATATTATAACATTTTACAACTCTCAGCCACAAATTACAAACATATGCTACATAGCTGAAATAAAACACACGTGAGATAGTTGATGCAGTTACTTTTAGCAGAATTTGTTTATATATGTAAAACACTGATCAGATATTTCTCCCGCCTTCTTAGCGGGCCTTCGCGGTGTAGAGGTCTGCATGCTGGGCGCGTATTCCAGAGGTCCGTTGTTCGATTCGGGGCGAAGGCGTTGCTCATCTTTCACATCTCTTGCTTCCAAAAAAGCCAATAGCTCTACAAGCGGCGCCCGAACTAAAAAGGGGGGGGTGGATGATGATTCTCCACATCCAGGATTTGGCGACTGGGTCCCTTAAACTCCAGTCACTCTTTAAAAGGGGGAGTATATAAGGTATTCCCCGCCTTCTTAGCGTGCCTTCCTGGTGTAATGCTCTTCATGCTGGGCGCGTATTCCAGAGATCCATGGTTCGATTCCCATCGGAGGCGTTGCTCATTTTTCACTTCTCCTGCTTACAAAAAATGCCTAATGTATCTACACACTTAAAACTACCAGATAAAATTTTACTTAAAATTAACCGTAGTTTCAATACAATAAACTGTACGATATTTATAATATAATTATACTTTAACTGTCAAAATTTCAAATCTTTCACTCAGTTTATTGGTAACTTTTATAGGATACTGAAAATGCCACATGACTGAAAATGTTTCAAGTATTTACAACAGCATTTTCAACATTCAGTCAATCAATATACAATTATTCTAATCAATCAATGCATGAATAATAATTATCTGAACATATAAAAATTATTGAAGATGAGAAACCCTAATTTAAGTAGAAGACAACTTACTAACATTTTAAGAAAATATGATAAATTAACAAACTGACCACTGCGCCGACAACCATTACTTGCCATAAAACGTTTAATGTTAGCCATAACAGGAGGCACGCTTCTTCTATTAAAATGCCATTTTCCGGAAAATGGGCAATTACGCAGCTACTAATTTGTTGAAAGAGTTAAAATACGAAATGCAAGGCTCTTCGTATGATTGCGATAATTTAACTCTTCTAGTTTCATTCTAATGGCATAAGATACAAACACTTTATCAGTTTGGAAAAGAGATACTATTAAGGGGATATAAAATTTTTCAGATCTGAGCCATTTAATTAATCTTTAAAATGTAAAGAGTTTCTTTTAATTGTTTGATCTGATAGCCCTTTTCTGGACTATACGTCTACATCGTGATTTCCATGTTAGAAGGGATATTTAGTAAAATTTCCAGGGATATCGTTATCCATTACTCTTCTACTACTTTCAGATATCATCAATTGTGGTGAGTTTACGCTTAGAAAGAGCTCTTTTCAAGAGACCAAAGACATAGTAACCCATAAATGAAGCAACAGGGGGTTTCGCATAACACGTTGAAAACGTATACATGAAATTGCTTTATCAGTCTTCATTTTGTCAATGAATGCAGTGATACTTTTCGAAGTATCAGTTTTACTTTGTTTTGATGAAGTTTCACTCATTGAAAGTCATTAGGGTAAGGAAATGGAATTTCTTCAGTAAATATTGGACGTAAAATTTTCTCCTGATAATAGAGTTCAATTTAACACTTTTTTATTCTATTTATATTTAATATCCTTTTTGAGAGAATCATAAACATCTTAAGGAAACTTGCTTTGTATTGACGGATAAAGATCTGTATATTTTATTGTCTTCGCTTACCATAATAAATAGACCTCATTTTTTTGCCATTTTTGCTGTCATTTAGGTAAACCCATGCTTCATCAAGAGTCAAATCGTGTCTCCATTTATCTCCTGCTAAATAGTATTCATACATGATTTTACAAATTGTTCTGTGTTGAGATACATGCTTCGGCTAAAACTGCTGAACATAATGATTTTAGTTCTTTTAAGTTATAAATCTCAGTTTATTATTTTTTACTGTTATTACAGATGACTTTGTGAGACTTTGAAATTAGTTTGTGCGTCGGGAGATTTTTCTCTGTAATGACTTTAGAAACATTACAAATAGTAGGTACTTTCTTCGAGTATTTGTTTGTAGTTTTTTTACATGAAAGAATAATAATCGGCGGTTTTTCCCTTTCCAGTTAATGTATAAGGTTTTCCTCCCGCCTTCTTAGCGTGCGTAGTGTAGTGGTCTGCACGTTGAGCGCCTATTCCAGAGGTCCGTGATTCGAGGCTGTTTTGCTTTGGGTTTAGGGTGTTGCTATATAAGATATTTCTCCCGTCTTCTTAGCATGCCTTCGTAGCATCATCTTTGGTCTGCACGCTGGGCGCGTATTCCAGGGGTCTGTGGTTCGATTCCCGGTGAGGACGTTACTCTTTTTCAAATCTCTTGCTACGATTATCTCTGTTTAATGCCTCTAAAATGATGTTGCTTATTTACACTTGGAAATTTTAATCTGATGCATTTCAACGTATTTTTGAATTATCGACTAGGAATATTTCTCTTCCGACAGGGTAAAAACATATCCTCTAATCCACAACTTGCTTACATGCGTCATTTTGAATAAAGAATAAATTTAAAAGTAGCAAGCGAAATTTCTCATTTCAAATAATGAGCTTTTGCAAGAAGATTTTAATCAATAGTTTGCTTTTTTGTAACTCTTTATCGAAATCATTCTGAAAGTGTATGAAAATCCTCCTGCATTTTTCAGTTGAGAGCACATTCAAATACATTAAAAGAATGAATCGACCAGAAATAAAAATACGAAATTCAAATAAATCATAACGTTGGCACAAGGGACGTTGTAGACTCGTTGGTTGTTTTGTGATATAATACAACTTTTTATGCAGTTATTGCAATTAATTTTTTAAAAAGAATAAATGCATTATTTAAGCAGACTACTTTTGCAAAGCAGCGAAAGGCAAATGCGAAGAATTGATAAAACATACATACTTGCAGCGTCTTCTTCCAGAGGCGGGAGGGTGGCCACAGCCGTGATGCTGGCAACTACAAAGGGAAAAAGCGAAAACATCACATGCAAATCAACAGCAGCTAACTAATGCAAAACTATTATAATCAACTAGCACACATATAAAATAAACACTATAGCAATTACATGTAATAAACTCAAGTGCCAAATATTGAAGGTAAACAAGAGGGAATATTTTCAATTTATAACTATTGAAGAAATGGTTTCAATCAAAACTCATGTATATGATGCAAAACTCATGTCCTATCCGTTTTGTGCTGACTTAGTTGGGTTAGTAATGAGAAAGATACGTATCGCCACCTTTGATCTTTGGAAAACCATGCCAACCTGAAAACTGAATCCCCGTATTTCGGGGATACCCAACGGTCATGAAATTCCCATGAAGCTGTTAAAAGGATTTACCAGGCAGCAGTAAGAGCACAGTATGGGCGTTAAAATTTGGCGAGAAAATGGGACGACCAGTGGATTATCAGGATAATTAATATAACACATTATAAATGAGTTTGGCTTTCATAATATTTAAGTTAACAAGGATGTATTTTGACACTTCAATTAAAGCAAAATATAGTTCAAATTGCATTCAACAAGGTTTAGTCGTTATCAACCTACTTGCATAATCCTGCTAAACCCAAGACACAGAGTAATTCGCATTCACCTAACTAAGAAATTTCGGAATTCGATCTTGGATTATTATCAACTTGTGGCCTAGTCTGACTAATCTCGTTTCCAGCAGTTTTAAACTAAGAATTTGTTTGTGGAAGTAGATAACTGCATGGCGCATAAAACATTAATGAGACTGAAGCATGCTTTGACCTCTTCGAGGTGCACAAATTTCATTTGGGGATTTGTTTAACATACACGTTGAGTTCATTATACCATCAAAATCATATGATCCTTCTTCCAAAAATGCTGACTTATAAATGGTTTCGTAAGCATATTACGGATCTTCTGACACTTAGCCAGCCGCCAAATTTAAACTGAAGTGGATACTAATGAGACATAGCGCAATTTCCGCATAGAGGGATGATTCCGCATAGAGGGATGACTTTCCAATTCATTACTATTGGAATTGGCAAAATATTAAATAATCGGCTTAGTAATAAATCAGAGTAATATATAGTTTGATTATATTTATAGAGTTATTAGGGAAACCTTTCAAAGATGACAACAAGCATTAAAATTCAAAGATGGATCTTAGACTTCAGCAGTTTTCTATTAGTATCTTGTAATTCTCGTGCTTTGTGTGACGTAAGTGCATTTGGTGTATTCAAATATTTTTCTAAATCAAGAAGTTTCGTAGGTTTAACTTCTACTGCCCACATGGACTCTAGATTACATATAAAAATTTTTGTCAATTCCTTTTGAATTCAATTTTGCGTTTGATGATTATTGGGAGTAAAGGAGTCAGGGTACAGAGTGATAGGGTCGTTTTGGAATTAAAATAAAAAATTATCAAGTATTTCTGACATTTTAGAGAGAGATACATTTTAAGGTTTAAACCCGTAAACCTTTAATTATAGACAGACAACTGAATATCTATATTCTATTGAAAGAGTATATTTGTGCGTACGTAGATTATTCGTTGTTCCAGCACATTATAGTTTTTTGTTACATCGATTATCTCTGTTTTTCGAGAAAAGAGGAGCTACTTATTATCAGGCAAATACGTAAGTCTTCGGAACTTGGGTTGATTACAGATAATAAGAAATCTAAAAAAAAAAAAAAAAAAAAAAAAATTCTAATATTAGCTTTGACACGCCGTGAGTTTAAAAGCTTACTACTATAAATAGCATGCAAATCTTAAGTCTCAAACGCGATTTAAACATAGCGTAACCAAAAACTCTGTTTCATTTGCATAAATATTTATGCTTTAAACAGGAAAATTTGACCTTATATGAAAGTTGGAGGTTTTTGTAAAGGGATTTTGACAGCAAATGAAATGCATTGCTCTATTGCAAAGAACAAACACATTTAAAAAAAAATAGAAATTAAATTGCCAATCGTGACTCTCATCAGTCCTTCTCGAAGTCGGGGTCGAACAAACAGCTGGAAGATCAGGAGTTCGAATCCAGTCGAAGACAATCCTGAAATTCCCCTCTTCCTGCTCACAAAAATTTACTGATTTCTGTAAGCTATGCTAAGTGCTGATTTCCTACATCAGTTTCAGAAAAATTTCAATTTCACAATATGAGCAGGACTTCGCTGTTTAACGCATGCATATCAAATTAATAAGATTAGTGTTTTCTAATGTAATTGAAATACTCATGATTGCCCTTAAAAGGCTTATTTAATGGCGATGAATTAGGACAGAACCTACAAATCTGAAGGTGGACTCTTTCTATAAATAATATATGAAACAAAATTTTCATTAAAAGTAAACAGTTCCACTTTCTTAAATATATTACCGTGTTTTTACTATGTAATACAAAAGTCTCTTTTTATTAACTTGCATTTTGGAAAGCGAAGAATAAAGATTGGTCCATAACAACTACTAATGAAAACTGAAGTAAACTTTTGTGAAATATTATAGAATTCTCTTTACAGACTCATTTTCTTTATGTAATACTAGCAGAGATACGAGGATTTGCAGCTGCGAAAATCTTATCTTTCCTGAACGAGTTACGTAAGTAAGAGCTTCGGGGTTTTTCTAATGGATGCCAAGGCACTTCCGGGACTCTCCCTTTAAAAGTGTTTACGAAGAGATGGTGTTTTATTTATATTTTTATGATTTACACCCTCACTTGATAAGAGTTTTAACACTTTTTTCTGCCTTTACGAACGATGCGAAAGTAGGGAAAGAAGGAGAAAACACATGAATCAGAATTTTAAAAGCATCTGGAAGGGGAAGATATTATTCTCAGAGATTAAAAGGTCCTTCTTTATATTTTCAGCAACTTTTAAAGCGTGGATTTCTTTTAAATATGTATTTTATCAGTAATTCAACTTTACTCAGACTTAACTTTAATCGAAGTTTAATTATGGAAAGGAATATTATTAGCATGAAAAGAAATAGACGTACAAAAGATGCTACAGTTTCATGTTACTGGCCACGAGAGGGCGCAATTATGTTTTTTATCTTTTCTTACTTTGCGGATTATTTGATTGAGATGCAGCGACAGAAAAATGATGAATGTTCTTCTCTAAGAAACCGAATTATAAATATATGTAAATAAAGTTTTTTGAGTCTTAAATGGCAAGATATCAGAGTGTCCTGTAGATTTCATCAAGGAAATATAAGCAGAAAGATTTCCTTATCAAATATTGTTAACTGTTGACGGTAAAAATAAGAAAATACAAATTAGAACCACAGGCAATAATTAAAAAAAAAGACGAGTGTTTATAACGTCATAATCAAATGAATATTGTCAGGATGCATTAGAGTAAAAAAATATGACAAATGATTTGCATTTCCACATGTGTCTAAAAATATTGGTGTACCCAGAATAAGACAGAAATTAAAAGAAAGTATGTTTTCTTTAAAATAGCAAAAACATTAAAGCGATTTCAGGTAGTCAGGTAATGACTGGCAGGCATGAAATGGTTTCAGGAGCTTGAAAATAACTATTGCTTTATATCTATTTCTTTTCTTTCGCTAAAAAGAAGTAATAAATCTGCATTAACTAATAGCAGTTACTTTAAATTTTATGTTTCTTCACTGAATATAAATCATAAAACTCAGAACCCTAAAAGCTCTTATTTTTAGTCTATAAAGAGCTATAACAAACATTAAGCAAGTTTCATTAGATACAATAGATTTTAATTTATTATTTCGTAGCTTCTGAAGTGAAAAACTTTTAGCAATACTACCTTCCCCTTCAGAAATAAAATAAAAATAATTGTCACTCATGATTTTACTCTTGAAGAATTTAATGAACTCTGTTTCACGGTTTCTATGGATATCTCAAATACTCCCTCTGTAGCAATATAATATCAATAAGTGAGTATTTAATCAGAAAATCTTTGCGAATGCAGCTATAATTTATGTTTTAGCCCAAAATTGCGAAGCCTTCATTAAAAATCAATATTTCATGATTTTGGCCATTTGTTTTGACACATATTTCAATGTTTAGGTTAATCCACTGATCGAAATCAGTTATTTAATTTCTGTTGAATATCAGCGCATTCTGAAAGCAAAATGAAAAAAATGGAGTTTTCAATAAAAGATCGAGCTGCGATTGTCCAGTTCTTGATGCATCAAAAGAAAAACGAAAAGTTGCAGAAAGGTGCATTTTCGTTTGCTGCAAAACAATTTAAGAACAACAGAATGACCATATTAAGAATTTGGAAACGGGTTTCCTAAAAATATCGCCAAAGTAAATCTTATGATATTGTTGATGCTTTGAAAAACAAATCTGATGTGGACATTACATTACATCTTTGTACGGTTTATTAAATTATACAAATTTTTCGCTGCATTTCATTTAAACTTATTTCCTCGAATTTCAGTAGATATAAATGCAGTTCTTACTTCTTTACAATTAAAATTCGAATTTAGTCCACGCAAAAACAAGGGATTCATCTTGCGGGCAGGAAGGAAGTTTTTTTTTTTTTTTTGGTTCACAAGACTAGAAGTTTACTTTTGGTCCGACTCGACAAAAGGACACTGAAATTAGTTCAGAAACTGAGTTAATTAACTAGTCTACTAAAATTTTCAAATGTAAACAAATGGCGCACTTCGTTAGGCTTAAAAGCACTTACACAACTTTTAAATTGTTGATAAATCTACAATTATTGCATGCAGATTAATTAAAGGCATAAAAACATAAACCGGAACATAAGAATGACATAACAACATTAATTCAATATCTTTTAAGGCCCAAAATGTACAATCTACCAACATAAATAATAAAAATCTGAGCTTAGCAAGCCGGCTAAAGAGAGGGTACACACACATATAGTACATGTAAAATATAAAAAGTACTATGGCTTTTCTGTAAGCGAACAGGCAACCTCTAATTAACTTTCCGTAATTTCAGAATCTTCGCCCTAGACCAGTACTTTCCAGAACATTCTGG